AAGAAAAGCCTATGGGGAAATTAAATGAAATCCAAATTCAAGGCAAAAAAAAAAAAGGAATGATGTAAAATTTCTCACTGTTTAAATGGATGACATCTGTTATCAAATTCCTGTGGTGTGCAGGTTCCACTGAAGAGACTTAAAACTATGATGTAACAGTTCTATTTAAGACTCAGTATTTATAATATGCCAGATACTATATTCTTTATAACAATTTAAACTTGTAATAAAAAATCAGATAACTAAACATGTGCAATGAGGTTAATAATTTTTCAAAATTTTAGGGTAAGTAAGCAAAAATATTTGAAAAGCAGTGAAATAAATAATACATCCACAGAGAGGAATACAATGCAGCCATTAAAAGCAATGAGTTAAATTACAAGATGAGTGAGTCACAGAAAGAAGAAGACTCGGAATGGCTGAAGGTAGGAGGACTAGGAGGATTAATAGGACAAGTTTCTGGTGTGGCTGGCGGGTTGCAGGAGCTGCAGACCATGAGGAGAAACCAGTGGTCTGGGGAGGAGAGCGCATTTTATTTTATTTTTAACAGTATTACTGCGATGTAATTCACACATCATACTGTTCGCCCATTTAAAGTGTACAATTCAACAGTTTTTTAGTGTATTCAGAGTTGTGTAACCATCAGTCACCATAATCAATTTTAGAATATTTCTCTCACCCCCCCTAAAAAAAACCCATACCGTATTGTTCCAGCCACACACACACAACCACCATTGCCCTAACCCTCCAGTCCCTCACAACCACTAACCTATGTTCTGTCTCTGTGGCTTGGTTTATTCTAAACATTTCCTATAGATGGAATCATACAATGTGTGGTTATTTTGTGGCTGGTTTCTGTCACTTAGCACCATGTATTTAAGGGTCACCCATGCCACAGCATGTGTCACTGCAAGAGTGACTTTGAACATGCTGAATTTGAGGTGCTTTCTGGACATCCATGTGAGGGTGCTGGGGGCTGCTGGAAATCTGGGGCCCTGGAGAGCAGTCAGGGCTGAAGACACCACCGGAGGCAATGGCTGAAGCCTTGGGAAAAGGTTGAGGGCAATGAAGGCAAGTACAAACAAGGAAAAAACAGAATAAAGAATATAACACTAGGGAATGCTTACATTTTTCAAGGATGCACGGAAGGAGAGAAATCACTAAGACAGAGAAGTCAGAGAAGTAGGTGGCGAAACTGGAGGCTCCAGGTCATAAACGTTTGAAGGCGATGAGGCTTCTACGCAATGTTTTTGCACCCTGGCACGCTTCGGTTTGAGGGACACGGCACGGAGGTAACAGATTTTTGTTGCTTCATCTGATCTTGTTCCTGTTCTAATCTTTGTACTCTATCACTTCCAAGGCTTTTTTTTTTTTCAACTCAAAAAGCCATAAATGCCAGTCTCTAACTTCCTTCCTGCAGTGTCTTGATGCTCTCTCCTTTGTCCCCTTCCTATCCATAGACAGAGCTCCGGTTGGCACCTAGCTCGCAGGCACGTGAGAACTGCTGGAGAATCTATGATGCTAGGGAACCCCATGTCTTCCTGACCAAATGCACGACTGCTCACAGTTTCTCAGAGGCAATGTGCCCAGAGGTGGCTTCATGAATTCTTATTAGGTTCTTTGTCCTATGCTGGTACATGGTCTGACCCTCAAGAGTTTCTGCAGCCCTGGCTGGTATGGCTCAGTGGATTGAGTGCTTGCCTACAAACTAAAAGGTTGTGGGTTCTATTCCCAGTCAGGGCACATGCCTGGATTGTGGTCCAGGTTCCCCAGGATAGATTGTGTGTGAGAGGCAACCAATCTATGTATCTCTTGCACATCAATATTTTTCTCCCTCCCTTCCCCTCTCTCTAAAAACTAAATAAACACAATCTTTTTTTTTAAATAAAGTGTTTCTGCAAACTTTCTGTGACAAGATATTTAACAGGGACAGTGGAGAAAAGATCAGCCTTATTCTAGGTGGTAACAGACATTCCTCCCACCCCTCCGTCGTCAAACCCAAGCCCAGATTCCAAAAGAAGGGAAATGCAATAAAAGGGAATCAGCCGGAACGGGACCGACATGACGAGTGCATGATAAATGAGGAGAAAGAACTTCAGTTCTGTACTTTCCTAATACTGCTTGGGAGTCTTACTACTTTGTAGGCAGCTGGGAAACCAAAGCGGTTTTAGGGAAGCCACAATGGTTCTGGAAATGTGACAGAGGAAGTATTAGGAGCACACCTCCCCCATCCCTCCCTGAGACTGGTGCTGGAGACAGGAAGCACATGTCTGATGCACAATAACCAGACCGTACTGCAGTTGAGCATAACAAGACTTTCAAGCCACGAATGAGCAGCCCAGGTATTTCAATATGACGGGAGAGTGAGAAGTCCAGACAGGATCCATCTAACCCTTCCTGATGGACTCTGAGGCACATGGGAAGATGTTCCAGCATACCTAGATGAATTAATTCATCACGCACCCTTAATTAATCTAGGTGGTGGTCTAATAACAGTGAAATGAATGAAGTCCCTATTAGGGCAAAAAGTCAAAGCCGGGAACAGATGGTAGTCAGACTAAGGTTTCTCTCTAAGACAGGAGCTTCGAAGTTCCCTCTAATGCTGAACTTGGGATGAAAAGTGATGTAAAGGGCACCTCACATCCAGTAACCCCATTTGAGAAGTGTCCCTAATATAAGGGAAAAGGGAAGCTAGCAACATTAGAAGGAACCAAAGACTCCAGGCCTCCACCTCTTTTCCTTAGGGCATGAACGCTGAGGTAAAATGGAATTAATAGGTCTAAACCATCAGCGTCCGCCCGTGGAATGGGGTTTCGGAGGAGTACACTGCTGCTGGGGCAGCACTAAAGCCAAGTAAGCCTGAAGCGCCTTCGTCCACACCGTGGCAGAAAGAGACCAGCTGCAATGCCTTCTTACTTTGCCTGAAGGTTAGGAGAGTATGCAAGCGCAGTCCCACTATTAAGGAGGGTGCTAAGAATAGTAGGACACTGACTTCATGCTGTACTCACAGAGTCTGCCTTGTTCAGACACAATCTATAAAAGCCTGGCTATGGCTTGCTTGCAGGCACTGACGGCAGCCAGACTGGAGAAACCCCTGTCAAAGTAGCTACAACACAAAGACATATGAGGTAGTATCCAGAAGGGTGTGCCTAAGAAAAGCAATAGTAGACATTGATTTTTTTTTAAACCCGACGAGTTGGGACCACCTCTAAAGCACTCAGATGGCAGTGAAAGGCAACAGGAGGGCAGGGCCATGACCTGCGTTGAACCCTAACTAGTTGCTACATTTTAGATGACACAAAAAGCCTAAGCACCTAAAGACAGGAGACCTGGAGTAGACAGTGGCTCCTTCTAGGACACACTTCTCATGTCCTAAGGTGAAGCCTTGACATGTAGTTTCTCTTTGCTGTTAGGCAAGGCTGGCGGTCACTGTGGCCTGGAAGATGTGGGTGTCACTGGGAACTGGGCCAGATGAGACAGACAAACGTGATGCGATGGAGCAAGTTCAGTGAGCGCACAGGAAGCACAGGCCGAGGCAGGCAGACAAGTGAGTGCTCAGGAGTCCCAAATCATCAAAAGACTAGAGGTAAAAGGGAGTTAAATGGAGCTAATGCTTAAAGTTCAAAAAAGAACAGGAAAAAAACCCACATAACATGTATCTGAAACGCAACCTTAAAATTGAGGAAAAGGCTCGTCTCGGCTTTCCTCCTTGAGTGGAAATCAATGACTAGCTTCCCTGAGACCATTCAGGCTGCCGCCTGCGATTGGGGACAAATACCTAAAAGATCTGTTGCAAGGAAATTTGCCACAAAAGACAGGAAGAGAAGGAGCACCTCAATCCAACAGTACAGAGGTGTACAAGAGGGAAAAATGACACCAATTGCGCTCACATTTTTAAAGGAGAGATGATGGCTTTTATAACACTTAGGGTGACATACACCGTGAAATTAGAAACCTCTTCTAAGGCACTGTTACAACTGGGGCGTAAGAGAGGTTCAGGAAATACTATATTTAATTTGAAAACTTAAATCAATTGTCAACTCCATTCTACTGATCCATGTTTTGAAAAATAAGTTTTACTAAAATCACTAAGCAAGCTCGGTGTAAAGGCTTCACAGGCATGATTAAGGAAACATTCATGGTTAGGAAATTTATAAAAACACAGTTGTACTATTTGATAGCAACACTGAATATACATATGTTTCTCAGAAGAAAATAGCAGCCCAAAATTATTAACAAAAATGAGTCAAAAATTGACAAAGATACCTCACTTAACTTCAATTCTATTATTCTCATCTAAAATATATGTAGAAGGTAATTTTATATCATGTTTATGCTGCATTTTCAAATACCAACATGGCAAATTTAAATAAAATCTATCTACAACTAAGAGTACTAAATTCAACTTATCAAGTAAAAAACTTTTTATTAACATTAACAATTAGCGTAAAGTGGTGATGGTCACACAACACTCTGAATGTAATTAATGCCATTGAATTGTATACTTAAAAATGGAAAATTATGTTATATAGTTTATCACAATAAAACATAGATGAATGGGGAGGAAAGAACAGTTAATGTATTTTGCATTTATGCTCCCTTTTCATATACTCAGTTCAATATTTTTTGGTACTTGGATGATTCACATTTTTATAAGGCTAAAATATATCAGTTGAAAGTATTTACCTGAATTTCCATTTCAAAAATTAATCATGTAACAGAAAGTCTAAAGTAAAAAGTTTAAACAACTGGCATAGTCCAAGTATTTGAGATATAACAGCTAAAAGATTAAACAGATTAAGATGAAGATTAAACAGTCTCACAACTCAGTTACCACCAGCCCTTGAAGTTTTTCTGCAACTATCATACAATAAAAGTATTTTTGAAATCTAAGTTGTTTTTCAAGTCAAATTAAAAAACCCAATTTATCTATTAAACAGAGGTAATTTAGAAGTTCAAAAGTCACTCAACATTTTTAAATAATCACAAAACCAACTAACCTTCTTTTTCTTCTTCAGTAATCTTTCTCTGAATTTATTAGTGATAAATCCCTTTGACCCAGCGAAACGTAAACGCTGATATTTGGCCTGGATGTACAAGCTCTTCTGGACCACGCCTGATTTAGACTGGGACTGGAATCTGCCACCTCTAAAGCTGGTCTGTAAAGGAAAAAATAATTAAATGTTAACACCAGAGACTCCAAATCTACTTTAATAGCATAAGAAATGGGAAATTTTCTGGTATTTAGAGCTGCCCTTGATTCCAGGCACTACAAATATTAAAAGAGTAGAGATTAATGATAGTAATAAAGTACATTTTCCTCAAACTAGCTTCCTAGCCTATTTTTTATGTAATTAGTTTTAAATTTACATAAAACCATTTTAAAACTGTTAAGTTAAAAAATTTTGAAATTCTTGAAATTTATCATGCTAAGATAAATACAACCCCCAAAACTTCTAATGAGCTAAAATTATCCTTGTTATTCATAGTGAAATATATCAAATCACAAATGGAGGGGAAAACATTAGATGTCAACATCTATTTAAGAATTGACAACTCCCTTCACTATATTCTTGTCAATACCTTCAGGCCAATCTTTCTTTAACATAAAAATTTCATTACAGCAAATATTTTCAAGAGTTATACTTAAAAAGCCCATTTCCTCACCTGCATACTGCAGAGTATTACAACAGATGTAAAAGAACAATGAGTATTTGTGTTTCCCATGTGGGAAATGTACAACTGGTGTATTATAGTGGAGTAATTATAAAAATCAAGTATATTCCTCTTTCTACAATTATTTAACAAAGGGTATGTCATGCATAATGAAGCACACAGTTTATAAAAAGTATCCCACGTCTATTTTCCAATCATTTTCTTAATGCTACAAAATATTCAGGTTAAAGAGAATTATAAAAAGACTGTGATTTTTGTTAAAACTATCTGCACAAACTAAAGACATGAGAACTAATCTTCAGATTTACGCTGTCTACTTTCACATATCTAATAAGATGATTTCTAATTCTGGCTTTGAATTATTCCGATTAATATAACATTTTAATGAAATAACTTCTTTTCTTAGGAAGGATTATTTTTCCTCCTTCTATTCTACTATTAAGAATGGTGGACTTCTAAATAATCAGATTATATCACACAGCTTCAAATGAATGGTCAAGAAAATTATTGCATATATTTTAAAAAATATTTATAATTAATGTCAAAGAACTTCCCATTAAGGAGAGGGGGAAATAAGAAATAGATCTTATAACAATAGTAGAAAAATACTACAATCAACTCTATCTGACTAATGATTAGAACAACATATAGGAAGCACTTAAATCTGAAAGCCCATTCACACAAAGTTATGCAGACATCACATTTTCAGGTAATGATTTTATGCTTCAACAGATTGAAAGATTGTAAAAAACATGTTGATATATTCTATGGCCATAGCTATTTTTGAAAACCTAACATCACACATGTTTTTAGCAATATTACGTACTCAACGCCTATTAATCATGTTGCTCACAGTGGAAAAAAGTATTTTGTCATCTAAAATTTTGACTCTCAACAAGTCAGGTAGTAACAGCAGGTCACTCAGCTGCCCTCCGACTCTGTGGGATAGCTTATATTACCTTTCTGCTCATGCTAACTTCCTATGAATGGGCTAACTACTCCATTTGGCTTGCCTGTTCCTTTTACAGACACCAAAAAAGAACTCAGATCCCTTTCTAAAATTTTTGGAAGGGGGAGGGAAAAAGACCTGGTGGAATGAAAAATATGAATAAAGTACCTATCATAAGCAAGAAAATTAGTCCAATGGATTTAAAAAGCACTTCAACCTCTGAGAAGCAAGGAAAAAACTGACAATGCTTTGCACTGTAATTCTTATCCCATATGTTTGGGGGATGAGGTTATTTGGATAATCAATTCTAACATGTTAGTTGATTGTAACTATCACTTACGTCAGACACAGTTGTACCAATAGAATGCAATGGAATTGTTTCGGCAAAGCCTGCTGGACCCGAATCCTTCTCTGATGATTGACCCAAAGGGCCCCTGAGGGCTGCATATCTACAGGCAGGGATTTTCAACCTGTGAATCCTGGAGAAGGCTCTACAGTTATGCATTTACACCTCAGAGGTAAAGAGAAGGACTTGGAGGGTTTGGGGCCTTGCCTGCCTCCCCACCTGAAGCTTCTCTCTCTGGATCTGTTTTATGTATCAGTATTTCCATGTAACATTTGTAAAAGGGTTCCACTGACTTAAAATATATTGAAAATCAAGTCCTGAGGAAAGGGGTCATCATTAAATTGATTCAAGTTAACTATAAATGCCCAGAAATGATAGGTTATAGCTATTTGAAATGTTACAAAACAGCTTTTAATTTACTACTACTTAGAACATTATGTTCAAAGTATAAACTAAAAGCTAGAATTAAATGGAAAATAACACTCAATAATTTAAAAGACCTTCTAAAGCCTCGTGTTTTGATGGTTTCTCTCAACTCCAAAAGGTGAGTAATGTCTTTTCTCTGCATGGTGTAATTAGGCATGAAAAAAGTATTAGCATGGGCGAACACACTTTAAAGTTTGCTTTTAAAACTTCATTTTACCACAAAAAAACACCCATTTTGAATGCACAGGATTAAGAACACAAAGATGTAGCTTAGCTACAGGAACATATGCACACACATCTCCCTTCACGTAACCCATGCCAGTTTGTGAGGGACTGGTTTAATTTATGAATGTGAGAAGTATAAAAAAAAATACTCCTGCTAACACAATGGGTAATTTTTGAGAATGAACCAAAACTGTAGCATTTATTCAGGCATCCAGAAGAGAAACAGGCCCATTTCATCAGAAGTTGCTAAAGAATTCCCACTGTGTAAGAAAAAAACAAATTCTCAGCACTGTAGGAGGCAGGTCTGGCTGACTCAGATAAATGATTTGAGTAGACAGATGCTCTGGCCATGACCAGGAAGCAAACAGAAGTCAGGGTGTAAGACGGTAACTACAAAGACCCTGAATCCTTCGATGGCAACAGAAAAGATGGGGCCCATTCTGAAAAATGGTTTCTTTTTCCCAAAATAGCAGTATTCTAACCTTCTCTTTATTCCATTTGGAGTTTATACTTCTCACAAATCTTCCTTTTTTACACCTTTACCTCTCTTCTCAGTTTAAAAAAGAAGTCACATAAAACTCTTTTGATAGTAGTCATCTTGAATTTCAGTAAGTGCAAGAAGGTACGTGTAATGAGATGAGACTTTTGGGGACTCTGGGAGGGAGGAGGTGTATTTTGCACGTGAAGGTAAAGATGTGAATCACTGCGGACAGTGGGACCCCCGTCATCCCCACCTTGCAGTACCCAGGCCCCTATGTCACCATCTTCCTTTGAGCGTGGGCTAGACCTAATGACTTGCTTCTTACAGAGTATGATAGAAGTGATGGAATGTCACTTCTGAGATTCGGTTACACACACACCCTGGCTTCTCTCTTTCCATCTGGCACTTTGCTTGCTCTTAGGGAAGCCAGCTGCCATTTGTGAACTGCCCCATGAAAAGGCAAATTTTTAAAAACAAAAATGCAGATTAGTGGGTAGCAAACATGAGGGCTCTTATTGGGGTCATGAAAATGTTATACAATTAGATTATGGTAATGGTTATACATTTTGGTAAATTTACAAAAAATCATTAAATTATACCTCTAAAACAGGCAAATTTCATGTAAAATTATACCTTACTAAAGTTACTCTTAAGTAAAAAACAAAACAAAACATACTAGCACTAAAATAAATGCAATAAAATCCTGCTAAATCAGAGACGGCCATTTCTTCTGTCACAATAACCGTATGTCTCAACAGAATCTTAACGTTGAACAAAAGAATTATAACCCTTACTTACTGAATAGTTACAAACATTATGAAGAATATTGGTGATCCCCGTACATGTAGATAAATGTGAGGAGAATAAAATGTATGAAAATGAAATATTTGGACATGCAATCTTACCATGTAAGTTCTCTGAATAAATTTTCTAGAATTTGATTTTATAGCCCATTTAGGATTTTGGAGTCCACCAACCTGAGTTGAAAAACTGAAAGACTCATCATTCCTAATAAAATGAGAGAGAGAAAATAAGAGTCTTTTATTAGTTTACCTTTATCCAACAAATAAACAAGAGAAATCAAATTACCCCCTTCAGAGACAATTAAAGAAGCACAATGGTAAAAATAATCTCAGTGATCCATCACTAAATAAATTACAAATGAAAGTTATCAGGGTTAAAACCGTCATTTTTCAACAAACATTACTGAGCTAAGTTGGAAGTTAGCAACGGGGTAAAACAGAATTCTTGGACCGGGGTTCTCAGTCTGAGGTCCAAGGACAGGTGTCCCGAGGGCTGTAGACCCTTGAAACCCTACTAGAATGTGTGTTTTCGGAGGGAAGATAACAACTGCTCTCAAGCCTGTGGCAGCACTGGACCCTGTTGCTGACAGACTCTTATTGGTGAAAGCACTGGGGAAGTGGCGTGTGATGGACTCAAAGTCCCCTCACTGACAGAGCTGGGGCCTCTGTTACTGCTGGGTCACAGTGACAAAAGACAGCTCCCCTCTGCTGTTGCCACTAGGTCCAGAGGCCAACAAGGGGTCTTCCCAGAGGGAAGGCAGCCCTATGTGGGTGGGGGGGTGGGGTCTTTCCTTGGGCTTCTCCTCTAACCCCAGGGCCTCATTTCCACAGTCCCCGGGAAGTTCTCTCTCGGTCCACCCACGTCTCCCTGCGATGCTCCTCAGACCCTTTCGGCTCCACAGTGAACGAACACCTCACTGCCGTGGCCCTGCTTCAGTCCCTCCCTCAGGTCCCTCACTGACTTGGGGATGAAATCCACTCTCCATCATGAGCAAAAACCCCCCAAGGCCCTTCTTGCTCAGTCCCTTGCTGCCTCGCCCGACTGCTTCATTCCTACCTCCCCAGCATGCACACTGAGCGCATACTATGCTTTAGGAACATTTATCTACATGCGGCTCCCAGCACACACCACAATCTCTCCTGCTTCCACAGGCTGGCATGTGCACTTCCTTCTAACTTAGAACAACTTCAAGATGTGGCTCGATGTGCACCTGCTCCAGAAAGGCTTTCCCAGACTCCTCTGAGGTGGACCAGGTACCCCTGCTAAGTGCACATGTAGCATTCGAGGTCTTCACACGCATCATTTGCGCTCGCAATGCCGGGGCACCTGTCTGTTTCACCCAGCAAGCTGTGACCCCTTTAGAGGACGCACTGTGGGTGGCTTGTTCTGTGGCCCCAGCTCTGACCCCAGTACATGACATGAAATAGCCAGCCACTCAGGGTTTCTTGAAATGTTAAGAAAAACCCCTAGGTTCTGTCAAAATGTTCATGATAATGATAGTAAGTCCAAAGAGTAGGGTACAAAGCCATATCATAAGGATAATTTCAATTATTTAAAATATTCATATATATGTCCAGAAAAAATAGTTAAAAGATAGGAAATGTACTACATATTAACAGTGGATGCCTCTGACTGGTTAAATTAAGAATGCCTCATATTTTTTGTTTTTAAACTTTGTTATATTTTTCCAGATATTTACTATTAGCATGTACGACTACTTCTATAAACAAAAGAATAGACTTTAAAAGATTTTCTTTGCAACGCATATATCTGATAAGAGAGTAGTATCCAGAATTATAAAGAACTCTTACATCTCAATAATAAAAAGACAATAATCCAACTTAAAAATGGACAAAGGATTTGAATACTTTCCAAAAAAGACACACAAAGAGCACATGAAAAGATGCTCAACATCATTAGTCATTAGAGAAATACAAATCAAACATCAATGACATATGACTTTGCGCCCACTGGGGTGGCTATAATCAAAGAGAGGATGCCACCAATGTTCACAACAGCCGAAGGGTGGAAAGCCCAATGCCTATCAACAGAAAAATGGATAAACAGAATGCGTATATCCATACGATGGAATAGTATTCAGCTTTTAAAGGAATGAAGTTTAAAATAAGAAAAGAATTCTGACATATGACACAACATGGATGAAAACATTATACTAAGTGAAATAAGCCACACACAAAAGGATGATTATTTTAAGATTCTACATATATATGAGGTAACTACAATAGGCAAATTCATAGAGAAGGAAAGAGGTTATCAGGAGCTGTGGACGGGGGGATAGGTGCTACCGTTTAGTTGGAACAGAGTTTCTGTGTAAGAAAATGAAAAACTTCTGCAAGAGAACAGTGGTGATGGTTGCACAACATTGTGAATGCACTTAATGCCAATTAATTGTACACTTACAAATGCTAAAATTTATGATATGCATATTTTGCCACACTAATTTTTTTTAATTCTTTGAGATTTGATTTTTGATCAGGCAAATATGAGTGTCCAAATTAAAGAATATACTTCCTAGATTTCCTGGAGCTATGCATAGCCCTGAGGCTAAATAAATCAGGTCTGCTAATGCGTCATGTGTAAATTCCAGGAAGTCTGTAAAGAAAAGGCTAGAACATGCATGTGAAGGCTAAGGCACAAACACTCCTCTTGGACCATGAGGCAAATGCCATGCACAGGAGAGATCTGAGGAGCAAGCTCTAAGGAGCCTGGAACCCTGGTGGGTCCAACCTACCATGTTCTGACTTCCTGACTCTATAATTTTTTCTTACATGAGAGAGAAATAATTTTTCCCCTAGCTCTTACAGTTCATATTCTACCCAGCAAGTAGAGTGATCCTTTTAAAATTTAATGAGATTATGTTTCTTCTCTGGTTAGTACCCAAAATGTTTCCTAACCTCAGAGTAAATTACAAAGTCTTCATGTTGTTCAAAGCACTTCATGATTTGGCCTCATCTAACTCTCTCCCTTTTTCACTGTGTTACATACAACCTTACGGGCCCTTTTCTATTGCTTGAACAAGAGAAAGTGATATCCTGCTTTAAGGTCTTTATTCCCTCTTTTGAAATACTATCCCCTCAAAAACAACTCTATGGCTAACTCATATAATTCACATCCCTCTCAATTTTTTGAAAAACTGTAAGTGCATTCTGTAACTATCGTAAATAAAATCACACAAAACAGCCCTGACCAGTGTGGTTCAGACGGTTGGGTGGAAAGGCCACTGATTTGATTCCTAGTCAGGGCACATGCCCGGGTTGAATGAGGGTTTGGTCCCCAGTCAGGGCACACACGAGAGGCAATCAATTGATGTTTCTCTCACATCGATGTTTCTCTCCCTTTCTCCCTTTCCTTTCTCTCTAAAAATAAATTTAAAAAATCTTAAAAAAAAATCACACCACACTTATCACTCTATTAAAGTTTTCCTCTGCCTTACTTTCCACCTATTCCTGGCCAACATATATTTATTTTTAAAAAATTTCTCCCACTATTAGATTATAAGCTCCATGAGAGCAGAGGCTTCATGTACAGTTTTTCACTGTATGCCAGTGCTTAGAAAAGTGACTAGAACATAGACACTAAATATATAAATATTAAGTTAATTCCAGTTCAGTACAGATTATAGATTATTATGCAGCAAAAATAAACACTTATGCTTTCCGTAATCTGCCTATTTAAAAAAGAAAATCTTGGCAGTTTCATGTCTTCTTAAAGTCTACTGACATGACTTTGAAGCTGCTTTTTCACATGCACACCATGCCTGTATACCACAACACCTCAATAGCAAGGTAGAGAACTTCGTAATGCTAACCGCAAGCGGGAGAAATAGCGTGTCAGAAAAAGACACGGAGAAAGACAAATACCATATGATCTCACCTATAGGTGGAATCTAATCAACAAAACAGACAAGCAAAATAAAACGAGCAACACTGAAAGGAAAAAGAAACCAACAGTGGCATGAGGAAAGGAGGGAGAGGGGTAATGTGGAAAGGAAAGGGAAGGGATAAATCAAGGAACATGTATAAAGTACCCACGGTCAAAGCCGAAGTGGGGAAGGATGGAGGGTGGGAGGTGGGGGTGGGTCGGGCAGGGGAAAGTGGTGGCGGGAAAATGAAGACAAATGGATTTGAACAATAAAAAAAAATGCAAAGTGGAAAAAAAAATCTCAGCTAAGAAACACAATGTACCAGCACTATACCCTAAAATGTATATGTAAGTATGTACATATATATATATAAATTTATATATAGTAATAGGTTATATGTTACATATATTATATTTGTTTATATTTAAAACATTATATTATATATTTATGATATTAAAAAAAAGGACATGGAGACATCAGGGTAAGAGGTCGGTCAGAACTGGGAGAAAATAGAGAACAGAGTCTGAAGACTAGATAGAATGTCCTAGTGCTAGGCTCGCTTGAGGAAGATTACCTAAGTTATCAGGGAATAAATAGTGATCCAGCTCTAAACGCATACAATTTCAGTACCCTCTGTCCTGTCTACTCCTTTGGAAAGAAGACTTCATTCATTCAACTGCTATGAATTGAGCTCAAGGCAGTGGGGATATAATCGTGGGCAAACATAGACACAGAGCCTGCATACAACTTTTGGAAGGGGAAAAAATCACACAGGTAGGAAATAGCTACATTTTACGATTCGTGATTTCATCATATTCATTTCTTTTTAATTTCTATGGAAATCTATATACTGACTTAACTAAAAAGGTTTATGCGAAAATATTAATGAGGTCAATTTTGATAACTGAGTTTCTAAGGTAAAAGAATAAAATGACTTTTTTGAACAAGGAAATTAAATTATAATAAAGTGAGAGATTAAAGGTTCTATAGTCTTTTTTTATTTTTTTAAATTTATAAATCATGTTTATTCTATTACAGTTGTCTCAATTTTTAGCCCTTTATATATAGTCTTTTTAAAAAGATGAACAATAATAAATTCTGGTGAAGGTTTGGAGAAACTGGAACGCGACCCCCCCCAGCCCCGCACACAACTTGTGCACACGTGTGTGCATACACACACTGCTGGTGAAAATGTAAAATGGTAGAGCCACTGTGGAATACAGCATGGTAGTTCATCAACAAGTTAAACATAGTTATCACATGACCTAGCAATTCCAACCCTAAGTGCATACAGAAAAGAAATGAAAACATACGTCCACACAAAATCTTGCACACGAATATTCACAGCACCATTATTCACGATAGGCAAACAGTGGAAACAACACAAATATCCATCAACGGGTGAACAGATAAACAGAATGTAGTATGTCCATATAACAGAATATGATTCAGTCATAAAAGGAATATTCATGCTATACGGAAGAATGTTGAAAACATTATGCTACAAGAAAAAAGGCAGTCACAAAAGGCCACATATTATATAACTGCAACTATATGAAATGTCAAGAATACTCAAGTCCACACAGACAAAAAGTAGATTAGTGGTTGCCAGGGGCAGGGTGGAGGGAGTTATAGAAGTGACAATCAATGGGGGCCAAAGGAAATGTTTTGGATTTAAATAGTGCTAACAGTTGTACAACTGTGACTCTACTGAAAACTACTGAATTGTTCACTTTCAAAGGTTGAGTTTTATGGTAAGTAATATCTCAATTTAAAAAAGTTTCCATGGTTCCACCACACCACACCACACCTGCTACTCGATACAAATGAAATAGTCCAACAGACCCAGCGAAAAACATCTTGCAGGAAGCCATCTTTGCATGCTACAACGCCACCCTCAAAGCTAACATTAATAAGAAGGAACACTGACCAGCTATTCTGTACCTTACATGCATCACTTTACTTAATCTTAACCACCAATATGCGGTAAGTATAATTCTTATCTCTGTTCTACAGCTGAGGAAAGAGAGATGAAGCATATTGTCCAATGTCAGTCACAGAGCTAGGTGTCTACACAGCCAGGCATCGAACTCAGGCGTAACTCCTGTGCTTGAGCTCTTAATCACCTCACAGGGTGAAGATACATTCTGAAGCATTCCACAGTCTTTATAATATGTTGGTTATCTTAAATCTGTTTTTAAAAATCCTCTTTCTTGGTTCACTGAGTCTCCGAAACATGCTGATTCAAAGAAAAGCATGAGAGAGCTTGTGTCACTAAACAGCAGTCGTGCTGTCATATTAAGAAACTGGAGACTCTCACCCACCAAGGAACGAGATTTTAACCATTTGATTTTCAATTGTTTTATATGTCTCAACACAGTTTTGCTATTCTTTAATTTGGTCCCAAACTTCTTGTCAGAATCAGGTTGTTTTAAACAAGCTCCGTATATTTTGACTAAGACCTTGTTAGCCATAGACTTGACTTAAAAAATCTAGTCAGATATCAGTAATTTGACACTAAGGACAATGGAAAGAGAATTAGCATTGGCCCTTCCGATTCATACATTCCCACTTTCTGGGAGATCCAAAGAATATGAGGACCGATGGAGAAAACTGGGGATTTTGCCCTATTCAATTATACTTCACAATCACATGGGGACCCACGGTTGTGATAAGTTCCACAGTTTTCAGAGCTAGAGGTAAACTGGGGACAATATAGAATACATAGAGCCACTAAAGAACAAGAATGTACTGATGATCAATTTGCCATGCACGGCATAAGTACTTTGCATATGTCAGTTCATTTACTATTCTAACCCCTCCACCACAAATTCGTTGTTCTCATCTTAGAGAGTAAAAGGCTCCAGAAACTAATCAAGTTTGCCAAGAGCTTGTAAACCAGCAGAGATGGGGTTTAAACTCGGGTCTCCTCTGAACTTTCTACTACACCTGCCTCCATTTCATGGTCAGACATTCATGAATAGTTCCGAAACAGAATTGCACTGACCTTAGCACATTTTGTAATATTTGGAGAATAGGAGAATCTAAAGGGTAGAACGTGTCACAGTTTGAATCAGCTTGAGCCAAAGAATCCATAACCTTGCTGGTCCTAGCTCTTGTTAATATTAAAAAAGCCATTACACTCTTTTCTAGAATTATAAAGACCTCAAATACTCACCTACTCCCCACAACTTTTGTTGTTTACATCAAACAGCATATGATGATCACTGAATAACTGAAACATTTTAATAGATTTTACTTAAACACATAAAATAGATTTGAAGGATTAAATCCCTATGCTAAAATGAAAATTATCGTCACACAAAAAAATTGAAAAGTATGCTGACACCAAAAGCTCCCTGATAACAGGATGTTTTTCATCTACTGATTACCTCTCTGTAGCACTATCTATGTGAAAAATGTGCTCATCTTCATTCTGTAACCGTTCTTTTCTCCTTCTTTCAATGTCATGTCGTAGGTCATTTGGATCTATTACTTTGACCAGAGTCTGAGGAATTTTGACAGAAGACAAACCATTCACATTACTGTTAGTTGCACAAAGACCATATCTAATAAGAACCTTAAGTAAAAGTCCTAAATAAATTATCTTGTATTTATCCTGCTAATTGTAGTGTAAACTAATAAAAATATTTTGAGATACAGTTGATAATAGAGTTGGAAAAGTTTATGACATTGAACCAGGAATCCCACTTCTGGGACTTTAGCCCAAAGAAAAGGCTATCTACCCAAATATATTCTAAGTGCTTTATTTAAAATAACAACAACAAAAAACCAAAAGCAACTTACATATATTGTAAAAAAAAATTAAAGGGGAAGGGAAGAATGACTTTATGGTAAATTTAAGTCAAAGGAATAATGTACAAGCATTTAAATTATGCTAATATAGACTGTGTGGGAGTACTCATGGAAAAACACTTATTGAAAAAAGTTAATTGAAATTTAAAGAGCCTCAATCATAAAAGGTCATGTGGAACTTGGAGATTTTTACATAAAAGTGGTGTTGTTATGGTTTAAGTAAAAAGAGAAAAATATCCAAAACTGCCTGTAGTAGGGTAGCGACTCTGTTAAAATGCCCGATGCAGGACAGCAAGAAAAGACAATCAAAACATGTTTTGTGTTAAGTGGTTAGATTAGAGGCTTTTTTAACCTTTAATTTTTAAAAACTCTCAGATTTCCTTTAAGTTGATTACAGTACTTTGATGAGTAAACATTTTCTGAAAATATCATTTATTCAATAAACTAACCTTTCTTCATGAGTTCAATAAAATTGTAACCATTCACAAGTGAAAAAATTATTTATATATTCTATCCTTTAAATCTCTCCTTTACAAAATCTCTCCTTTACAAAACCTCTTTACTCTTAATGAATAAATTAGCGGCTCTTTTAGAACTTAATATACTTTTTAAAAAAACAAAAGCCCGTTTCTTCCCTCGTGGCTAGGTAAGATAGTTTAATTAGCCAAGAAATGGGTAGGGGGTTGTGGGAGGTGTTGGATAGGAACCACCACACATGTGACAACAAAAAATTTCAGTATTAGTTCCATTATATTGCTAGTTCATATTCCATAGACTCTGAAGGGCAATCTCAAATAAAACTAAGTTCCTTTGTATTCATTCCACATACGATTTAAAAATATATTCCACACAACTGCTTTGGACAAAGTAGGTATCAAACATACTTTCTGAAAGCTTTACAGTGTGAAGTTTTGGAATAAAGATTAAATGCTATAATTTTGTGTCAATTTTACAAAGCTGTTGCCCTTAAGGACTGTTGATCTTAGGGAATATTTTTTGTCTTTTGTCAGTTTTCTCTCTGCAACCTGGCCAATAACTAGAATCACTCGGAGAGCTTTGGAAATTTCAGATATCTGGGTCTCAAACCTTCTTCCTCATCTACTTTAATTCCCAATCACCAGTTCCCTTTTCCATTAGTATGCCAACAATAAGATAATCTCTCATCAAAACTTATATTCACTTACCTGTTCTGAATCACATACCATAATGTGTCTATCCTGAAGCTCGGTCAAAGACATATTTATTCTCCTAAAATAATAAAGGCATATTATGTTATACACTGATGGCTTGATTCCATTACTACAGAACGGAATTTGAAGTAAAGCTGGTGTGTCTTGGTGGGAGTAAAAGAAACGTGCCACCAGGTGGTTTCTCATCTATGTGGCAGTTTCCCAAGATACACATTTCCTTTGAACAACATCACAGCGACGCCTTGGTGGTTCTCAAATCACTAGTCTATGTAATCTTAAACTTTGCTCCGGTAACATTGATTCAACTCAGCTCACAAGACAGGGTATGCCACCTGCTCAGACAGGTGCCAGTAGCAGACAGCCATTTCTGACCACAGGAGGCAACCCATGATTTCAATGGCTCAACAACTGTCTTTCATTCTTCCAGTGATAACTTCAGTAGACAATTACTATAGACACAGCAGAATCAAAAGCTAGGTAGGGAAATATTTTCAAAGTCCTACACATTTAAACAATACCAGTCAATGGCTTCATGATAACCTAGTCCATCACAGTACACACACACCTGGTACCTGCTGGGGTCTGTCCTGTTTTTAAGCAGGAAATCCAGTCTTAGGATATAGAGCGAGCCCAGGAGGCAGTACCTTCCCACATCTCCTCTGAGGCTTATTCCCATGAGATAAATGGGCATACAATAATTAATCATTACCTGTGAATTCCTGGTTCTGAAGTCAATTTAATTTCATTTACACTTGCTGCTTGTTGATCTTGTATTTTTGAGAAACGCTCATGTAGAGTAATGTGAGATAATTGCAAATCATCTGAAAACACAAAGTTTTATCTCAGTGTTAAACCAATTTCACTTAAAGATCACACAGAAGCACAGAAAGAAGGGATTATTAAAAAAACACTCCTGCCCTGGCTGGTGTGGCTCAGGGGATTGAGTGCCAGCCTGCAAACCAGAGGGTCACCGGTTCGATTCCCAGTCAGGGCACATGCCTGGGTTGCCGACCAGGTCCCCAGTAGGGGGTGCGTGAGAGGCAACCACACACTGATGTTTCTCTCCCTCTCTCTCTCCCTCCCTTCCCCTAAAAATAAATAAAATCTTAAAAAAAAATCCAACCTGTTTTCTCTTGAAAATATGCAGGACCTCAACTTATTCCACAGACTAATTCACAGTGCTCCCATGCCTTTTCAAGCCTGTGCAATAGTAAAACCCCTGATTGATGGAACCAGGAAGCCTGTTCCTATTTGACAGGCCTGCTTACTTGTTGGGGAAAAAGACAGTAGCTCTCTCGAAGTGAGAACCCTTCTTCTCCAATATAAGACCTTACTGTATCTGGGAAGTAAAGGCGGTCCAGAGCTCTACTTCAGCTAGAGTAAAAAGTAACTCCACACACAATCCTGAAACATCAAAATCATTCTGAACAAATGTTAAATGTTATGTTTACATATCACAGAAGGTCTCCTAATGCCATTTAACATTAAGTAAAGTTCATGAAGACATTTTTGAAATCCAGCTATGTTATGGGCTTTTAACAGGATAGAGAGAAAGGTAATACTCTTGACTCATTAGAATTGCTACTTAAGCAACCCTTTTTCCCTAACTTGCCATTACTGTCCTCAGAGATTAGATTCTCTTGGACTTTTCTGCAATACCAGTTCTCTTTCTACCAATAACCACAAGTCCTTTGGGGAAAAGGGGCTGAAACTAAGAAGGCAAATCGTTTCAGACAAACCGCATGCTTAAGTAAATGTATGCCTTAGTTTGAGGAATGCAGAGAAAATAATTCCTTTTCGAAGTATGTTTTAAGAAGGTAAAAAAAAAGATTAATGCAATCATCTAGTAAAAAACATAAAATAAGAATTTTGGAATTTTTGAAGGTGCTTAGTTTATAATACCCACAATTGTTTTATTTACATGGCATCGTTGAGGAAAGTTGTTCTACATGACTGAAATTTCCAATTACTGGACATTGGCTACCAGTAAAAACAAATAAAAACAACTCAATGCAAATCTTCCAAGTATTTATTATGCGACTCCCTAATGTCATAAGGTATGCCAAATCAAACTGGAATCTTTTATTGATCGCTGAGCATCACCCTTCTGGCTTTAAGTCCCATAATTCCCCCATTAAGAATATCACCAGATGACCTAGACTTCAAGATTTCTTGAGTTTCCTATCTGGTTTTTGTTGCTTCCTTCTTGTTCTGTTATCAGTTATTGTTTCTTGCTGCTCTCAGTACACTTGTCTTTTGTAGCAGTTAATCTCTCCCTTCGTAACTTATGATTTCCAATCTACTTTGAGTTGAAGCATCAGGTTATTGGAACTACTTATAAAGAACAACTAGGCCTAGGTGCCATAGCTACCTTGACCATCTAGTACTCTGTAAAATAATAATTAAAAAAACCCAACTAGGGAGAGTTAACATCTGCTACTCTCTTCAACAGATTTCTCAATGAATGATCTAGTTTATAATGAAATATTAATTACTATTACAATATTACAGATATTTTCCTATATCTCATGGAAAGTCAGTACATTGTTTTTGTGTTATCCCTAATGTATGTGCAAAATATACTAACCTTTAGCTTGATGGATTACAGTTATGATTTCCTGAGCAAATTCTTCTGTACTTTTGTTTTCAGTATTTTGAGGTGAGTCAAGATGTTCAGACACTGGATGCAAGTCCTCACTTTCACTGCCAACGGCAAACAAATCATCTGACATCTGTCTCTCTGTATTGCTAGAAGCATCCCTAGAATAATTTGTAAATGTTTAACTAAATTTGAAACTATTTTACTGAGGAAAAAAAGTATTAAAATTAATCAATATAGCTATAAAACTAAAAAGATGTTTATTTTTTCTTATAATTAAGGCACTAAATTGTATGCCATAAAACGTGTATGAGTAGGAGAAAAATAGCTATAGATGCATGGTTTTGAGTTCTTCTCAAATCAGAGATCATTAAATATTTGCCACTTTAATAAGATCCTCCAAATCCTAAGTTAAACAAGTTTTACTTCAAAAAATACAGCAAGGCATTAAATACACTCCATACGCAAAAACAATCAGATTATTTTCTGCTCCCAAATGTTTATAAAATTGTAAATCCAGCAAGCTTATAGTAACTACCACCCTTTAAAAGCTGATATCAAACATAATAACTTCTCTGACTTCATAGAAATCCTTATAACTCTGTATGAGTAATAAGAAGCTTAGAATAAATAGTATTTTGAAATCAAACTCTGTTGAGACTAATTTAATCACTTAGAAAGTCTGACCAAACTCTCAGAAAACAGCCTGTTGTTAGGAAAGCTATGATCACTATAACTAATTATGGTGTTTATCCTAAATGCATCCTTAAAGAAATGCTACCATTTAGTACATAAAACCCAACTATCTTACCACTTCAATGCTTTCTGAATCTTTATAATTTTCATGAAGAGTTTCCTGACCTTTAGGTGCCATTATAAAGCCCTTATCATGATATGTAGCTAACAATTCTTGAGGGCCTATGCCAAACTCAAAAGCTTAGAGCTTATAAACATTATCTCATTTAATCTTTAACTAGGCCTACAGGCAAAGTGTCCTGACACTGAGACAATGGATGTCCTGTTTTGCTTACATCCCCAGAGGTCAAGCATTCATATGGACACAATCCTTCCAAGTGCCATAATGGGGAACTATACCTTACCCTAAGGATGCTGCTCTTGTTTAAAACTACTCTTCAATTCTTCATCTGGATGCAGTTTATTCATCAGAAGAAAATCTCATTATTTTATATTTATACCTCATTTTGAACCCAAAATGGCACTAACCAGCTTACACAACCATCTTACTTACTCCTCTGCACTTAACTCTAACTAGCTTTTGGCTCTTGCCAAAAATCAAGGTCACTGTCCAAAGAACTGAGACTTACAACTGCTAGGGTTCTTTTATGAGTATGTCACAGGCTCTGAACATACATCCAAGAGAGAAACCTGAAATATGTTTTAAATAACAGCAGCACTGCCCCCATCTTCTTGGTTGGACCCTCCTCCATCAATAAACCTTTCCTTACTCAATCCATCCATCCACGCATCCACCCATCCATCCACCCATCCATCCACCCATCCATCCACCCATCCATCCACCCATCCATCCATCCATCCATCCATCCATCCATCCACCCATCCATCCACCCATCCATCCATCCATCCATCCATCCATCCATCCACGCATCCATCCACCCATCCATCCATCCATCCATCCATCCACCCATCCATCCAACCATCCATCCACCCATCCATCCACCCATCCATCCATCCATCCATCCATCCACCCATCCATCCATCCACGCATCCACCCATCCATCCACCCATCCATCCACCCATCCATCCACGCATCCACCCATCCATCCACCCATCCATCCACCCATCCATCCACCCATCCATCCACCCATCCATCCATCCATCCATCCATCCATCCATCCATCCATCCATCCATCCATCCATCCATCCATATATACATAAGAAGAGCAACGCCACTGGAAAAAAGGGAGACTTCTTCATAGAACAAAACCAATCAGATAGATACATTTTGGGGTGTGGGTGTAGGTGTGCACAGATTTACTTATTTATTTAAGTCGCTTCATAGCCATATAACCAAAACTGCTCCAGGGTTATGAGGGGCTTACATATGTTCCTTTAATTAAAAACTTTAACTCCTCTAACAAGATGGTTTTATGTGCCTATTTTTAACCTATCAGACTTTCCATGCTCCCTGCTCTCAAACCAGTGCTGTGAAGACAACCGCCTGTGAAGGCAGAAGCATGGAACAGTGGTAACGCAGCAGGCTGATGCCGCCGCTGCAGGTTCCTTGGTTTATTAGAAGACTTTCATGAGAAGGCCCACTTCCCTTCTTTCCTCCTAGTTTTCTCCAAGCTTCCCACTGCGTATCTGATAACTAGTTAGGAGACATTTAGTGATAAAAGCTAGAAGCTAGACTGACCCTGTAACAACCTCCACTAACAAAAAACTACAAATGCTCTCTGCTCAAAGGGGTATAATGGTACAAAAAGCCTGCCATACCAAAAACAAACAAAGAAAACAAAACAACCCCCCCAAAAAAACCATTGCTTTTAAAAACATTTTACAAGAGAAAAATAAGATGTTTAAAATACAACCATAAAATGGTCCATCCATAAGAGGAAATCAGTTGATAACAGTTTTTATTACAGCCTCATTTTCTCCCAAAAGGAAGCAAGCTGATAGAGGCTTTCAGTAATTAATAATTTACTTGTAATTTATTATTGCCCGCATAATTCTTACCCCCACTTTATGCCCAATCCTCAATCCACAGGAGTAATGTGGTATACACTGAAGCTATATTTCTTCAATTCCTCAAATTTTAGTGTTTAAACTTGCTATCAGTTAAAAAACTTATCCTAGGGTTACTTCACTGCCATGAAAATAGTAAAACCTAAAATTAGTTTTTTTAAAAAATTTTTATTGATTTTGAGAGTGGGGGGAGAGGGAGAGAGAAACATAGATTTGTTGTCCACTTATTTATTCATTCATTGGTTGATTCCTGTATGTGCCCTGACTGGGGATCAAACCCATAGCCTTGGCATAGGGGGATGACGCTCCAACCAACTGAACTACCTGGCCAGGGCCTAAAATTTTAGTTTTTTAAAAACAATTATACTTTTGCCCTGACCAGTGTAGCTCAGTGGTTTGGGTATTGTCCCACAAAGTGAAAGGTCACTGGTTCGATTCTCAGTCAGGGCACATGCCTAGGTTGCAGGTTTGGTCCCCGGATGGTGCATATGCGAGAGGCAACCAGTGGATGTTTCTCTCCCTCTCTTGTCTCCCTCCCTTCCCCTCTCTAAAAATAAATAATAAATAAAGTCTTTTTAAAAAACCATTATACTGTTGCTATATGAAAAACCTTCTTGAATAAAATTTTTAAAAAAATAAAAATAAAAAATAAAATATATATGTGTATGTACATGAAAGTGGATGAAATAAAATAGGCAAAATAAAAAAAAAAACACCTTCTTGAGACTTGAGAATAAAAAATGTTCTAGGTCTTACATTTGTAAATTTAATCACCTCTTAGTTCACATTTTCCTTTTTACTAATTTCCGATGACATTATTGATCAACAAGTTAATACTTTCAGGAAATAACCTCCAACACAAGTAGTTAGGCTGTAAAGGCCAAGTTGTTCTCATTTGAGATGAAGTTTAGATAGTTAAAAAAAAAATACAGCCAAACATCCATATTCTAAATGTGTGATTAAATCCTCCATGTTCCTCTGTTCTGTCCTCAACCCCTCCCTGTTTTTTCCCCTCCGTTTAAAAATATTTTCCCTGGCATTCTGAGTGTTGTGCATTAGTAACTAAGAAAACAAAAAGCTACATTAAACCTTTATTTCCTCCTACACACAGCTAAGATCCATAAAAAAAGACCAACTGCATGGCAAAACAACAGTAACAGAAAAACCAACAACCAAAATCCTGCCCTCTGGAAGCTTATAATGAGAACGAAATACATATAACACATAAAGGTTTTCTTAGTTTTCTCCCCCAAATAACTCAGTTTTGTACAGTATCCAACAGTTCATAAAGCACTTTCCAAATCATTGATTTGCTCCTGTCTTCCTAAGAACACATTTAGAATTTTTGGAGTTGACAGAAAAGAGGGAGACTGCTACTCCCTTCATTCATTATCTCATTACTTATGCACGAAAGTCCCCTAACTGGCCTTGCCAACCCCCTCGCCCTTCCAAGCCTCCTCAGAGGAGGCAGTCCCCTGGCAGCCAGAACCGAGCCAACCTGTCCTCTCCTATTAGCTAATCCTGTCAAGTTAGGCTGGCAGTGTGGCAGTCCTACCTTCGCAGCCTCCTGTACCTCTATTCCCTTTTACCGACTATTCAAAGCCACCCAGTTCCAAGTTTCTGTGTGTGGTATCTGCTTCTGTTAACCTATGAACACGAGTATCTTGCATTTGTCATCACGTGTGTAAAACACACCATAACCTCCGAAGCCTAATTCACGTGTCAGGTCCTGAAAGAAGCCTTCCCTAAATCCCCCAGCTTGAGATCATCAGAGGCGCTCACCACCTCACACATCGCTCACCGTGCCATGTTTTACCAACATCGCCCTGTTGTCTGCAAGACCGGAGGAGAAGAAACCTAATCCTGTGCCTGCCTACAGTCCCAGGGAACCCTAACAGGCTGTCTCACAGGCAAGGTCCTCAAAAACTACCTGCTGAATGAATAAATGATAAAAGGAAAATGACTTGGACCATTTGAAATTGATTCAGCTAAAAAGATGACCGACTTCAAAATTCTCATTGAGGTCAATTTAATTGTTTTTTAACTTCCTTGGCTTTTTACTTAATTTTTTTCTTGATTTAGAGCAATTTAAAATTTAAATATTTAATTTTTTAAATAATATAGAATCTCAAATATACATAAAAGTTCAGAGAATCCTATGATGAGCCTGTCATACCAGCTTCAACAGTTACCGGCCAATCGAAGCAGACTCATATAACCAGGAGGAGATGCGGATTAATTTGGGTCCCAAAAGACATGGCCAGGTGACCTGCCCAATGTCACAGAGCTGCTCAGTGACCCACGAGAAGACAAAAACCTATGCACCCCAACCGCGAACACAATGTTCACCTCCCTATACGAGGACCCCTATGAGACACTAGGGGAAGCTATGGTGATAGCAATGAAGGGGAACATTCTCTCAATTTTTTATTTAAAAATGTATATGACAAATATTTTAGATAAAAACCTTACTTTTGTGATACATAACAACAAGATAGCAGGCTTTTTTATATCTCCACCCACAGCTTATTTTTGCCACCAGCTGAACAGTACCTATCACAGGTAAACTTTGTGTGATTAGGTTACCGTCCTTCAGTCCTTGCTGTGGTTTTTTACACTGTTCCTCCACCTATATAGCAGACCTTTCCTCAGAGCATCAGGGCTGCATTGTCTTCTGGGACCCATCACCCAAGTCATCCCCTTTCAGGATGGGGCAAGATCTGATGGGGGTAGGGAGGCCCACTCTATCTTTTCAGTGGGAAACAAAAGGATTAAATGCAACAAGGGCTAATATGCTCAGTCCACATCAACTTTGCTAGACAAACTTTGCATCTGAGATGCCTAGTAGCAGCACCTGCAGAGGTCAGGGGGGCCTTGCGTCCTTCTGCACCAGCTTTTCATCTCCAGAGACTGGCACCGCCTGCTCCTCCCTCTCACTTCCTTTCGAGCCTGATCAAGGTTCAGGCTCTCACCAACTCAGGCCTCCATTAAACCAGAACTCCCTTCATCTGGCCTGAGACTTCAGATACACACAGCTGGGTGCTTGGGGTTCATAATAATAACCTGAGTATAGATTTTCATATTGTGGCTCCCTAACTTACATTCTGAAACAGATAATTATGCAACTTCTACCTCTGATAACGTAGTTTCTGACCAAGTGGGTCACTAGAATATGATCTTTGTTAACAGAAGTGTTAACTATGCAGTGAACATTCAAGCAAGTATCTATTGCTGCTCTACATACAAACTGGAATCTAGAAAAATCACTAGGTGATAGCCATGGTTTTTAAAAATTTTATTTATTTGTTTTTTAGAGAGAGGGGAAGGGAGGGAGAAAGAGAGGTAGAGAGACATCAATGCGAGACAGAAACATTGATTGGCTGCCTCTTGCATGCGCCCAGACAGGGGACTGAATCTGCAACCTAGGCATGTGCCCTGACCAGGAATCGAACTGGCAACCTCTTTGCGGGATGATGGCCAACCCACGGAGCCACACCAGTCAGGGTGACAGCCATGTTTTTAGCTATATATGTCAAAGCTTAACCAAAACTAAGAAAGTAAACAAATGCACAAAATGAACCATCTTAGTCTTTCAAAAAAAAAAAGAAGGACAAATTCTCTGGATTTTAACCAACAAAAACCTCTCTCTATTCTAGGATTATTTAAATCTTTTCAAGCAGAGGAAAATCTGATTTATGGCAATAGTTGAGAACATCACTCTATTGAGGTTAGCATTAACTACCTTTGTTTTATGGGTATTTCATCAGTCCATACATAATTCAATCCAACCCCACAAAACTCTTCCACAACTCATTAGTCAATAAATAATTATAATCAGAAAGATCTTGTTGAGCATGATGCTTTATCAAACTGAAAAGATGCATGTATTTATTAAGTTATTCATTCTTCATGTTTTTGAAAAGAAAGCATTTGCAGTGGAAGTTTTTTATTACACAAGCTGTCTTTCAGGTCCTTGCCAGATAATTCAAACATGTGCTGACAGGTCCCAATGACAGGTCATAAAGTTTCACAGAATTACAGTTTATAAATTCAAACAAAAGATATTGCAGCCTCAATTTTAGGAAGCTCATTTTTGTGGCCATGATGATGATCAAGCTACCATTTCTCAGTATCAAATCACGAAACTGTGTTCAGTATCTTTAAAATAAAACCCTTCAAAATTGGTATTTCTAGCACTCTTTAAATATGCTACAGCCAATGTATTAATTCTCTTTTAAGTATAAAGCACTTAATTTTAAATGTGGTGGTATCGTTACTTTTATCCCCTTGGTTGCTTGAAAATTCAAGATTTTTTTTTGTGATTTGATTATATGTAATTTTACCTCAAAAGGAAAAAAATATAAACAAAAATTAAATACTGAAATATTTAAAGGGTAATGTACTGATATCTGCAATTCACTTTGAAATACATCAAAAAATAAGATGGAACAACAGATGAATAGATGGACAGATATGTGATTACAAAAGTAGAGTAAAATGTTAAGATAGAGTAGACTCTGGATGGTGGGCATATGGATGCTCACTATATAATTCTTTCAGCTTTTCTGTATATTTGAACATTTTCATGTTATAACGTTGGAAAGAAAAACAGCTTAAATCCCCAAACTTGATGTGTACAGAAGCCTTTGTACTCTTAAGATTAAGAACTAGTAGGAAATATAATAGCACAAAATGATTTAAGAAATATTACATGAAATAGGATACAAAATTATTAATACAGTATTATCACAACCATGTAAAATACAGGTAGAAAAATAACAAAAGGAGCTGTACTAAAATATTAATATAACTGTTCTAGGGTAAAGATTATGAGTTATTTTCCCACCTCTATTTGTCTAACTTTCTGTACTGTAATTGTATTTGTAAATGTTTTCTATGCACATATAAATATACACATGTAACCCTGGCTGTTGTGGCACAGTGGATTGAGTGCTGGCCTGCAGATGGAAAGGTTGCTGGTTCAATTCCCAGTCAGGGCACATGCCTGGGTTGTGGGCCAGGTCCCCAAGGCGGGTGGGTGCACGCGAGAGGCAACCACATGTTAATGTTTCTCTCCTCCTTTCTCCCTCCCTTCCCCTCTATAAAAATGAATAAATAAAATCTTTTTAAAAAAGAGCTAAATCAGATGTTGTAAAAATGGGCCTCTTTCTAGACTCTAACCTATTTCCTCTACCTAGGCGATTCTAGTAGGTTGAGTACCAGCCATTTTGAGATGGTAGCAGGAACCATGTTACGTCACCAGCCTCCTTGAGTCACAAGGGGTCACGTGGATTTGAGACCCAGGTACTCTGACTTCAACAAGCCGTTTCATGTCTCAGAGCCTCACTCTCCCACTCTATAAAATCTTGGCCTGCTGAGGTCCCTTTCAGGTCAAAAATTCTCTGACTCTCAGGCAACAGGGAAAACAGGCTCTGAGAAACTAAGCAAGGAATAGGTCTCCTTGAACTCCACCCAGCCTATCCCTGGATACAGGGCTTCTGGCAGCATAACAACATGCACATTCATGAAGAGAACAACTCCATGGCATGCTCTGTCCCCCGAAAGCACCTTGAGATACGAAGTGGAAATAAGCAGACATGAGATCACCCCATATGACTAATCATGAGATTCATCCTCATAACAGGGCTTTTTTGAAATAATCTAGACAACCCCTCTCCCTCGATGGACTCTAGACACACTACTAATTTCATTTTCAAAGCTTTGAACAAAGATGGCAGACACACTTATTAAATATCATTAAGAAAAAAACAAAGATAATACCTGGATGTTTTTACTGGTTTCTTCTTATCTACTTTAATTATAAGTGATTTCTTTTTAGGACTAGCAGGTGAAGACACATCAGAAGGTTTACTTTCATCAGGTTCATAACTGGAAGAGTCGCTCTCTGTTTCGTCATCCTCTTCTTCTTCTTTCCTTAGTTTCTTCTGTTTGCCATTCGAGGCTCTCAAACCAACATTTTTATTTGAGTGAGTAGAGGGAGTGCTGTCTTTCTTAGATGATTTAAGAGGTTCTTTGACTTTCTCCCCTTCAGTCTCTCTCCCTCTTCCAGCATTAGAACTGGACTTTCTATTGCCACTTTGAGAAGTGTTTCTCCTATCTTCCTCCTTAGAGTATTTCTGAGTTTTTCCATTAGAAAAGTTCTGGTCTGCATCTGAGGTCTTGCGACGTTTGTGGTGAGAGTCACTGGTTGCTGAACTGGTCTCTGCGGGTTTCTTCTGAGCACGCCGATGAGCTTGGGCTCTATTGTCCCGCCGACTTTTCTTCTGGTGAGGTGAAAGAGAACGCCTGGACTTCCACTCTGGGTTTCTGGAACGCTCTCTGGTTTCATACCTCTCTATGCTCGTACGTCTTTTTGATGTGTGTTTGTATCTTCTCCAATCACGATCCTCAGTATACCTGTGGGGACATAAAAAACAGTTTATACTTGCAATACAGAGAAGAAAGTGAAAACTTATATATGTGGAATGTTGGGTAGCATGGCTTTAAATGCACAATGCAGTGGCAAAGTTAATCTATCATCCTTCAAGCTAACTCATACAGGTTCATTAGAGAGGAAATACCATCTTATTTTTAAATATTCAAGCCATCAACATAATTTACTCTAAAAACAAATACTTCACTACTACCAGTAGAACTAACTACATTACAATGCTTTTTATCTTTTCAGAAAAAAAGATTTTCAAGGTGGTTATCTTCAACTATAAAGTAAACACACTTTTTCACTTTATATCAAATTACCCAGGTTTAGTGTTTTCTTTTACCTCTTCTGAAAAGAGCTCCTTTTCTCAAAATCTTCAGAACCTCTTCTATAATAGTGAGAATATTTTTCATCTCGTATCCTGTGGTATCTCAGCTCATCTTCATGCCGTCTTCCTTCAAATCTAAAAGAATCTTCTATTGACCTGCGAGGTGATTTCCTTCTTCTTCCATCTCTTCTACCTCTGTGGTCATTAGCAATATGCCTTCCTCGCCCTTGCTGAGGATGACAATCCCACCGATACTCTTGGTAATATATACCCTCTGCGTATCTGGGTGTATACTGAAGTCTGTTATCGTCCTCCCTTCCTGGTGAATATAGTTGGTAAGGTTTATAAGAATAAGAATAGTATGCGTCTAAAGAACTTCTTATGTTTGGAGAAGGTGATCTATGGTCATAAAATCGGTAATATGTACTTTCGCGAGGCGAAAGCCTTGGTCTACTCTGTTCATCCTTGTGAATTCTCCAAGTGGTGGATCTGTTCGGATCCAACCTATAGTCATAGCCATAATACCCATGAGGGTATCTTTCCCTGTAGTATTCAGACTTTTTAGGTGCTGGTGATAAAGACCTATGTAAATAAACACAGAAAAGTTTAGTTCATTTAAAGGCAATTAACTATTTGTCTTAATATGACTACCCAGATAAAAGATTTGTTTTCTACTGTTTCTTCCACTCAAATTAAATTACTCAATTGGCCATATCCACATTCTCAACTGTCCACGTGGGGCTCTGATTATGCCTGCCCCAATTCAACAAGTATACTCTTTCCATATGAACTAACGCATCCCATGTGCATATTCAAATCGGCTGAGCACTCCCATCCTCTTGGAGGACCAGCTCAGGTACACAGCAGACTCCATTTTGGAAGATTGCTGACAGCAAAGTTCTGGCAAAAGAACCGGTCAGCAAGAGCTTGTATCAGGTTCAGCAGTCAGGTAAGGAAAAGGCAGAGGGGCAACGAATCGATGCTTCTCTCTCTCGGAAGGCAATGGAAGAAAATTGTCCTTGGGTGAGGATAAAAAAAAAGAAAAGGAAAAAGGCAGGAGGAGGGCTGGATTCATACAAATAAACATGTAGGAGAATCTCTGGCAAACTGAACATAACCTCTGAAATTAAGTTAGATTCCAAGAGTTTAATGCCACATAAACTCAAACTCAGCCCCAAAACTGACCCCACAGTTTTTCCAATTGTCTATTCTCTCTACTAAGGCTATATATCAGGGAGCAAAAAACACATACTTAAACTGTATATGGAGGTAGGGGAGGGGGAAGAAAAGGAGGGTCTTAAGACTTGAACCTCATGCTTCGTTCCTCCATAAATACTACTAACATAGGAAAATTGCCCTTCTCTCCCAGACCTAGTCCCTTATGTGTGAAATGAAAGATGTGTAACTTTGGCAAATGTGCGCTTTTATGCTGCTAAAATGCTCTCCAGGGACAGACAGCACAGCCTTTCTGTAGCTACCTTCTCGAACACCTCAGCAAGTCTACATCGAGCCTTTCATTCCCACTGAAGAGGAAAACTTCTATATCCAGAGAAACCAGTCAGCCTGAGTTACCTAGACTTCAGGATGAGAGAGGAGCGCCACTATCTGGAACACAATGAAGTTCAAATTTGTCCCCAGGGACATCTCCTCCCTGAGTAAGTCTCCTCCCCGAGGGTTTAACGTCTTATAATCAATGAGGCTGCTTGCTACCCTTGCAGCTTTTGTTATCGCCCCCGTCTTCAGAAGCTGCCTTGCAGTCAGAACCAAGAGTAAAACCCTTTTCCATTTGGTGACCCGCCTGTGTACTCCTTGCAGGAAGGGAGGCAGATTCAGCTTTCCCACCTAACACTGGGATTTACATACTGGACTCGACAATATCTCCCTCTCCAATCACCAAGCTAGATGCACTGGCAAGTGTGTTCTGTAGCTGAAGCTGAAGCTCTGTCATCCAGCTGGCTGCACCTCATCAACACAGCAAAAAGCAACTGGAGCCTCTACAGACTTTCTGGAAGATTTAATTTCTTCCACTGCTAGGGAGAAGAGGTGGCAGCCAGAGGCTAAGGTTTTCCAGACTGGACCAAATAGTCAATCTCTTACTTTAGTCCATACTTCACCTTGAGTACACTTAGATGATATTTCACTTCACAGTTCTATTGTACAGAGCCCCTATTCTTCCGAAGGGGATTGTTGGAACGGGTGCTATCATTTTCAGTTCTCCTACGGGGGAAAAAAGGGACCCAAGGGGTCTGTTGGGAGATAACTCTCCAAAGGTCTCTCCCATTCTGCACACATTGTGAGCAGAGGCACGTCCAAGGCAAACAGCCTAGGAAGATGGAGCTAGGGCCTCCGGCACGGGCAGAGGGCCTGTTTGCTACCCAGGATAAGAAGATAATATCTCCCCCAAGGCAGAAGCCCCTCATGGGACTTGGGTTCCTCGGCTCTGTCATCACCCCAGCACTAAGCTTGGCAGGTTCTTTTGTGTCCCCTCACCAGGGCCTACCACAAAAGCGTGACACAAAATGACTCCTGTGATGCCCTCCATGTTAAAAATCATTTGCTTCTTTACATTCTCCTTTTTTAAAGCTCCTCCCCATTACAATTTGGTCTTGTAAACTCCAAATTAAAACTGTGGAAGAAACGATTGATTAGTCATTGTAGAACCATAATGGAACAAGCACAAAGGCTGAGTCACATTAACATGTAAAATCTTGGTCTGACTTTTGTGTATTTAACTATGGTCCTTTTTAGAAGTCCTGGAATGTGCTAGTCACTTTCACAGCTCTGCCTTTGCTGCTGTTGTCCCCCTTAGTGGGCATATATATTTTTTTAATCCTCACCCAAAGATCTATCTATTGATAGCGTGGGGCAGGGAGAGAGATTGATTGATCAGCTGCCTCCCATAAACTACCATACCAGAGGTGGAAGGATGGAACCCACAACCTTTTGATACACGGGGCGACACTCCAATCAAGTGAGTCCCCGGCCAAGGCTACCTGGAATATTTTTCTTCTCTTTCTGCCTTTAAAAATTCTACTCATCTTTAAATGGCCAGCTAAAATCTTTAGACTTTCTTCGTATATCTCCCTTTCCCCTCCACAAAAGCAGCATCATTCCCTGCCTGTGGATCCAGAGTACTTTGTCTCAGTTACACCACACTTCCCACGTGCTATGGCGTCAATTTTCCCAGCCAGGCTGTGTGCTTGCTGAGGGCCCAGAAGGTTTTGTAGCCCTAGAACTTGCCTGTAAGCAGATATACAATACTAGCTGAATTCCTGCAATCTAATTATATATACATATTTGATACTACTAACTAAGAGGAGAGTTGAACTACAATTGAGTTATTCAAAACTCTATTATTCTGCCATGAAGAATAAATAGGAAACTCCCAATTTCTTCAAACATACTGATTATGAAAAAATAAAACACAACCTGAAAAGTTCTAAACCACTTACTGTTGCAAAAATATGGAACACTCTCAAAGATGTTTTTCACTCTCCCTGGCTGTGGCCGCTGTGTTCTTTTTATTATGGATTAATTCTAGCTGCTGGCTGTTATTAAAGAAAGCTGTCAGCTCCTAGAAATACAACCTTTATCACTGTAAAGCACCTACTGTGAATAACCACATCCCACGAGCTCATTAAAATAGATCCTTAATGATACTGGTGAATTGGAAGTCAAAGTACATCTCAAATCCAAGGTCACCCTGATAAATTAAGAACTGCTCACCTCTGTTTCCATCTGGGGGATCTAGAGTGTGACCGTGTCATCCTTTGTTGACATGTGAACCACTATCCGCTTTTTACACTGCAAAGAAACACAGTATTAGCAAGTTTATAGAAAGAGCCTGCAATCTGCTCTAAAAACAGTGAATGCCACAGGCCAAAGAATTACTTAGGCCCACTATGCTTCAGTTTCCTCATCTGTAAAATAAAGATGATGATAACAGGACAACTTTACTGCAATGCTCTGAGGATAAAATGAATTAAATCAGGGGTGAGCAAACATTTTCTGCAAAGGGCCAGGCAGTAACTATTTTAGGCTTTGCAGGCCACATGCAGTCTCTATGCATCTTCTTTTTTAAACTACCCTTTAAAAATATAAAAACCATTCTTAACTCGGGTTCCTCCCCCCACCAACACACAAACAGGCCCTAAACACCAAATGCAGTACAGTTTGACAATCCCCGAGTTGACTCATGAAAAGAGCTTAGAATAGTGTCTGGCACACAGCATAGCAGCTGCCAAGTAAGTGTTCCAAAAGAGGAAAATTACCCAGAATTCTTCTGAGTACAACCACTACTACCCTCCTGTCTTTTGCCATGTACATAAACAATTCATATAATCACAGTCAAAATGTTTAAGAATATTTGATGGCATCTCCTGCTTTTTAAATTGTCAAATAATAAGAATCACAACGCCCAATTATAGTACTCAATTGCTACCTAACTTTCGCTGAATTAAATATATCAAAACTTAATTAACCATGATTAAACATTTGGCTTGCTTCTGATTTTTTCCTAAAATGCCAAATAAGTACATTTTAAAAGACACAGACTTGACTTTTTTAAAGCTATACTTCAATATTTAAAAGGAACTGATGGCTTTAGGAACTGAATTTTAAATATATATATAAAAGCCTAAAATATAATAAATTATATATATATAAATATATATAAAATATATATGTAAAAAACTCAAAGGTTGTTGGGGAGGGAGGGTGGACACCAAATATTCTTGGTGATGAAAAAGCATCATTTTTCTGGCAGGTAATCTTTTTTCATTTTATTTTTTGAAAAACAGATTTATTGAGATATTCACATACCATATAAATCACCTATATAAAATGTACAATTCAACATTTTTTAGTATAGTCACAGGAATGTACAGTCATCATCACAATCCAATTTTAGACTATTTTCATCCCCTCTGAAAGAAATCCTATTAGTAGTTCCTCCACATTCCTCCCCTCTTTCAGTTAAGTCCCTGCCTGCCAACCACAAATCTGCTTTCTGTTTCTGTGGATCTGCCTATCTTGGACCTTTATATAAATGGTATCATACAATATGCAGTCTTTTGTAACTGGTTTCTTTCCCTTAACATTTTCAAAGGTCACCCTTGTTTTCCCACGTATCAGTACTTCATTTTTTGTGGCTAAATAATATTCCATTTTATGTGTATACCACATGATGTTTATTCATTCATCTCTCAAAGGACATTTGGGCTGTTTGTGTTTTTGGTTATTATGTATAATGCTGCTATGAAAATTTGTATACAAGTTTTTGTGTGGACACATTTTTGTTTCACTCCTAGTATATATACCTAGGAGTGAACTGCTTGGTCATATAGTAACTGTTTTACTTTTTGAGAAACTTACAAATTTTTCCAAGCAGTTCCTTCATTTTGCATTCCCACCAGCAATGTATGAGGGTTCCAGTATTTCCACATGCTCACCAACCTCTGTTACTTTGTGTTTTTTATTTTAGCCATCCTAGTGGGGGTGAAGTGGTACCTCAACTGTGGTTTTGATTCGCATTTCCTTAAGGATGGGTAACCTTCACATATGTAAGAAATTATGAAACTAATCCTGCCTACTTTCCTTGAATCTAATAATTTCAGTTTAAATTTATTAATCCAAGATAATTTAAAAGGAAAAAGTAGCTATATATAAGAAGTTTGTGTCAGTTTTATAATAGGAAAGAAAACCACTCAAACTAATTACAACCCAAATGCCCAACAATCAGTAAAAGATTAAACAAATTTTAAATATATAGATATATATAGGCAGTTGCCTCCTACCTTTCTCCCAGCCTTATCTATGTCTTTTCCACACACCCCACTTTTTAAACTCAAGGAAAGAATCCCAGGGGATATGATGGTTAAAGAATCCAGAAAGGATAGGGATTTGTCAGGCAGAGTGAGTGAAGGCCATCTATGTGGCAGGAATACCATGGCCCAATCAGAGAAAAGCAGGTAGTGTGGTGTGGTGGTTTTCACCTCTCTGTTTCTTCTTGGGAATTCTGGGTATATTCTGTAATTATTTCAATACACTGTGATTATTTACTTAAATAATTACATTTATTTCATTAGGCAAAAGACTCTAAAAAGCATACAAACCCAAATGACCTATGGACATCTGAGATATTCAACCTTATTAGTAATTGAGTAAACATGAATTAAGATCATAAGCATCCCATACCCATCAAATTGACACACACAAAAAAAAAGGGAGTTGTATATTCTGGAGTGCTGGCGAGGATATGGAACCATAGGGACTCTCATAAATTGCTACGTGAGTATGCATAAGTAAAACCAATTTGGACGGGGCAGGCAGCACCTGGTAAAGTTGAGTATGCTCATATTCCACAGCCCAGCAATTCCACTCAGAAACATACCGTAGAGCAATGGTTCTTAAACTTTAGTGTGCATCAGAATCCCCTGAAAGGCTGGTGGGGGCACATATTGCTGGGCCCTTCACCAGGGCGGGCCCCCCTCCCAGCATGTTCCAGGGTGATGCAGGTGTCCATGCTGCTGGCCCTGGAACTACAGAACTACTGGTTTAAAGGGGAAAGGTAGAGGTCACTTGGGAGAAAATGTTTATGTGAGATTTACTGATTACATGATAAAAAGTGTTAGGATATATTCCTTTGTTAATGTGAACATTAGCTTTATTGAAATTCAAATTATTTACTCAAAATGGATGAATTTTATTGCAGATAAATTATACCTCAAAGCTGCAAAGAAAAACCAAGCTTCGGTGATGAAACGGCTCTAAGATTAGATCAGCTATTATGGAGATGGTTGTACAACCCTGCAAACATACTAAAAAAACCATTGAATCGCACACTTTAAACCTGTACATTGTATGTCACTAAAGCTGTCTCTTAAAAAGTTAACTTCATTTGCAACTGCTTAGTGCATATCAACGAGTAATAAAATGTACCAGCTCAGGGCTTAATGGATAAGAGAGGAGAGTTCATTTAAACCTTAGAGTCTTAGCTAAGAATGTTTAAATGGTTTTTACATTTTATTTTATTTTTAAAAGATTTTATTTACTTAAAAGAGAAGGGAAGGGAGGGAGAAAGAGAAGGAGAGAACCATTGATGTGTGAGAGAAACATCAGTTGGCTGCCTCCTGCACACCCCCAACCAGGGACCTGGCCAGCAACCCAGGCCTGTGCCCTGACTGGGAAATGAACCTGTAACCCTTTGGTTCACAGGCCTGCACTCAATCCACTGAGCCACACCAGCTAGGGCGGTTTTTATATTATTAAAAGGGTTGTTAAAAAAAAAGAAAAAGACTATGCCCTAATATTTATTTATGCCTAATATACTGCGGGCCTTAATATATGCCCACAAAGCCCTAATATTCACAGTCTTAGGTAAATATTTTATTTACTGGTCCTTTACAGAATAAGTTTGCTGACCCTAATTCAAACTAACTTACCTGTAACTAGCAAAGCTAATCAAAGAAACCAGCTTTAGGAGAGAGGAGGCAGGAGGAGAGAAAGAGGGGGAGGGAGAGAGGGACTGAAACACCAGCAGATTTTGTTCCTCAGGAGGAGATGTCAGTAACAGAAGAAAAATTCGCTTACACTGCTCCTTCAGAGTGAACTGTACAAGGCCAGGGGCAGCAAACCCATCTACCCTTAAACGGAGACAGATGATGACTGGACAGCAGGTGCATCCACTCTCAGGGGGGATGCTGATGCCAAAGAGGCCCCCGCTACCAGCGTAACATTGGACAGACACATCCCTCATGGAGCTGAAAGACCAGCTCCAGCAATTGTCCTTTTCCTCTCACAACATGGCTGTCTCCTCTCCACCAGATCCTCCCAATCACCACACAGCCCTCCCCCCTCAGGAACCACAGCCCTTGGGGCTACCAACATTTCTCTCCTTTTACAATGACCTTTCTCAAAGGGCTACCCTTAAGCCACAGCCATTCTCTCAGTCCTTCTCTTCCCACTCTTTTTAATATGGACCAAGTTTGTTTATGTTGTGGCCAAGGGGATGTGGATGACATCTTTTTGTCATTAAAATTTTTTTCAATCACAGTTTACATTCAATATTATTTTATGCTAGTTTCAGGTGCACAGCATAGTGGTTAGACAATCATACTTTACAAAGTGCTCCCCCTGGTATTTCAAGTACCCACCTGACACCATACACAGTTATTAAACTATTATTGACTATATTACCTATGCTGCACTTTGCATCCCCATGGCTGTTTTGTAACTACCAATCTGTCCAATTACAAAATGGGCAAAGGGCCTGAACAGACACTTCTCTAAAGAGGACATATGGATATGGCTCATAGATATATGACAAGATGCTCAACATCACTAATCATCAGAAAAATGCAAATTAAAACCACAGTGACGTATTACCTCACACCTGTCAGAATGGCTATCATCAATAAATCAACAAACAACAATGCTGGCGAGGTTATAGAGAGAAGGGAACCCTTGTACACTGTTGGTGGGAATGCAGACTGGTGCAGCCACTGTGGAAAGCCATGTGGAATTCCCTCAAAAAATTAAAAATGGAACTGCTTTCCCATTCTTTCTTGAGCCTTCGCCAGTCTGACTTTCTACACCACTACTGCATCAAACTGCTCTAGTCAAAATCACTAAAGGAATACATGTTGCTAAATCCAGTGGTTATGGTTCCTCCTCCTCCTGGACCTATTGAGACAGGAGAGTAATAAGCAAGGAAAATTCCTTTGCAAGTGGAACAGAGAAACAGACAGCTGAACACAATGGCCCAGCAACTGACAGCCAGGGGCAGATGCTTACGGGGGAGGGAG